GTTCTTTTTAACTTTAAGATTCATCACAGAATATTGAATTTATATATATCATAGTTTCCACAAAAAAATATTAAGCAGCATAATCGACAATAAGAAGAAATTTTCCTTGAGCACAGCATATAAGAAAGATATCCAAAAGGTAATGCAACACACTATTATGTTTTTTTTTTTTACTGTATTTTTGATCAAATAAATGGGCTTGCACGGGTATGAAGACTGGGACACTTTTCTGTCATCCTTGCCTGTTGCCTGTATTTGCATTGAAGCAACACAAGCTCTTATTGCCATGTTCAGATATGCTTGACCTGAACGAACTGTAATTAGAGCAACTGACAGCTAATTGACACAAACAGTTTGGCAGTGGTCATATGACAAAGTTTAATTAAGATTAAACTTAAAGGGAATCTGCACAAGTACTCTGTTTGAGGAAGGGAAAACAAAATAGATCGCTCCAGGCTGTCTTCAGAGCAAAGGCTAATTTGCACTGAAATGAGTCAATAAACACATTTCATCCGAGCTGGCAAGACATGGCAAACAGTAAAAATGATATATAGTCTCCTCTCCTGGGATGAGAAAATATCTATTTCAAACTGTAAAGGCATAAACAGCTTTCTGTGATCTATATGCATCATGCAATCTACCTTTCTGACAGTGAGATTTTTTGAGTTTATTGTTTGTACAATATTGTTCTTTTGCAGGGTGTTCCTAAAGTAGCCCATTTTAGTAGCCTATAGCTGGCAGCCCAAAGAGTCTCTTATTTCACAAAGTGATATAGAGTACAATGGAAATATCCAAGCCCAGTCTACACCTCAACTAAAAATGAATTAAAAAACTATTACCGCAGGCTAGGCAATGCTATTCTTAAATGGGAGTCACATCAACTGTTGCCATGCATTTGATGGGCACATGCTGCCTCTGATGGGTTTAATGCAATAGGCGTGACAGGCGGCACATTGGCTCCTTACAACAAGGAGCAATTAACCCCGCTACTATTCACCCTTACATTTCAATGTGCCAGTAAAAGAAAGATACCTCACCCTGTCACCACTATGTGCCAATCAAACTGTATTCACCAATGCATACTCACAGTTTGTACTGTCACTGCAGGAAATAAGCCTTGTTCATTGCAAATGACTTCCCATTGCTTGGTTCACTGCTTCAGCTCCCCAATCAAGGTGTCAAGGCAAACTCAATCATCATAGAAGGCAATGCTTTGAGAACGAGCATTCTTGCTGTCCAAAAGATAAACGCATGCAGGAAATATAAGCAACATTAAAATGCGAAAACAGTACACAGAAAACAAAACACAGGGGAAAAAAACACACAAAAAAAACCCCAGACAAAACAATGGTTATTTGCTTGTGGAAATTATTATAATACATATAATTTCTTCACATTACATAAAAACAGCAGAATTAAAATCCAGGTGAGCCAAAATAGTTAGAATAAACTATGAGTTTGTTGTTTGTACATTGGCTTTTTTGATTATTCAGTGCATTAATACCAGTTTGGTTATGGTTGGTGTGGTTTATATCACCGTTGTCCTGATTTTTCATGCATTCTGTCATGCATTTCAAAGCGTTTTCCCATTTATGGTAGTTTTCAATATAAATGCAAGAAGTAGCATTGTGACAGAGGATGGAATTGAAATAGCACGGACTCCACCTCCATTTTGTCCGTTTCTGTTGCACATATTCAGAGGGTGACAGAGAACTCAATCACATTCAGAGCCTGGGGGTTGGACTGTCTGCTTTTGAACCTGCCTTCCACCATCCATGTATGTAATGAACAGAGAGAGGCCGATACAGAAAGACATGCATAGAAGGTTCTTACTGTAGGAGACCAACAATTGGGGGATGTGTAGAACTTTAGGAATGATGGGTGATCAAATTCTCCTGAGATTTCCACGGGGACAGATTCTATGTGTTCCTAGTCAGCCAATTTGACAGGGTCACTTGGTGACTCTCAGTGACACATTATGACATAAATGACTAGATGTCTTCAGAGAGACTGATTAAAACATCTCGGTCCATTTGATGAGACCATCTGCTGAGGAGAACAGGAGAGAGCAGGTGGAATAATCCGCCAATGGAATTACTCATAAAGGGAATTTACCCAGTTGGCCTTTAAAGCTATCAGGTCTCTTCGGCGTGGCTAATGATATTCTGTAGACTCACATTGCCCGAGAGTATAAATGAATCACTAAGCCCAGTATACCATCATTTATAGTGCTGAAAACCTGACGGAGCTCAATCTGTGGTATGATTAAATTCTCAAATTTGTTTTGGCTCTAGCCATCTGTGTATGAGCATCTCTTCATCTGCCCTCTTGTGACCAGTAACAATTTAACAAGTCCACAGTGAAAGACTGCTTTAATGTCAAGCCGTCATTACTTAACACAGTCTCTTCTCTTGCAAATATGGAATGGTCAGGGGAAGATGTGATCTTTTTCATCTGGCTGGTGAATTGTACAGTGTTATATATGGACACATTACATTATACGCCACCATTCAAAAGTTTGAGGTTGGTAAGATTTTTGTACGTTTTTTGAAAGAACTCTCTTATGCTCACCAAGGCTGCATTTATTTGATTAAAAATACAGTAAAAATTTCACTCATATTGTGAAATATTACAGACATGTGAAATACATTTTCAAATATATTGAAATAGAAAACAGTTACTTTATTCCTGTGATGGCAAAGCTGAATTTTCAGCATCATTACTCCAGTCTTCAGTGTCACATGATCTTTCAGAATTCATATAATATGCTGATTTGTTGCTCTTGAAACATTATTATTATCATCAACAGTAGTTTTACCATCAACCTTTCCCTCACATCTTTCCTTTGTTTTAAAAATCAGATGTTTATATGTACTATCGAACAGATTAGAAAAGGTTTAAACCACCCCCTACAATCCGAAATGAAATTTGCCCAATTCATTCCGACTGACGTGGTTAAATGTGACTTTTTTTATACCGACTGTGCTAATAGTCTGATTACAAACGGATTGTTAGAGTCCATGTAAACGCAGTGGCTGCTTAAAAATTTTGAGGAAACAGTAATAAAAAAATGTCCCCAGGATTCTTTGATGAATGGAAAGTCCAAAAGAACAGCATTTATTTGAAATAGAAAATCTTTGGAACAAGGTCTTTACTGTTACTTTTGATCAATTTGATGTGTCCTTGCTAAATAAAAGTATTAATTTCTTTAAACAAAAAATCTTACTTGCCTCAAATGTTTGAACATTAGTGTTTATTTTCCATTTGAAAATTGATGATTACGAGCTCTGACAGATAACTTGGTAAAATGCAACAAATATGTGGAAGCACAGATACTTTTAAAGTCATCATTTGTTAGAATGTTAGAATTTGTTATTAATTCATGAATAATTAATTTCTCTGTGTAAAATATTTTTAATGTGAATTGACCTCTGGACTTTATAACAGGAAAAAAAACTCAATGATCTTTCAAAAGAAAATACTTTTATATATATCAGTAGACAAATGAAATAGCCACATTGCACAAAGAATTATGAAGACATTCTTTTTATTCATAATTTTATGTTAATGCAAACTAAGGAGTCTATACATGATTTTTAAAAAGGATAAAAAACTGTACAATATAAAGCAGGAACACTGATAAAATGTCATAGACATTGAAAAAGTCTAAATGCTTGGCAAATCTGTTTAAAGTAAACTATTAGTAGAAATCACAGACTAACTTATAAAACGAAGAGAAAATTTGAATTAATTTTACAAAGAACAAATAAAAGATGTCATGCAGCAACTTGAAAAAAAAGCCTGAGTCTTTTTTCTCTCTTTTAAATAAAGAATCATTCAACAGCAACAACAACAAAAAGAACTTTGTAAAAAAATAGCCACAAATTCTACTTAAAAAGTTTTGCAAAACCAAATAATCTCTTCTATTTGTTTCTTTATGAGAAACAACAGTCACACTTCTCTGCAGAGACACTTTGAGGATTAACATGACACACACAAAAAAAATCATCAGAGGCTGAAGATAAATCACTGGACACAGTGAGGAGAAAGTCCTGTGCTGTGAAGTTGTCAACAGATGATAGCCATTTGTATATTCAAAGTTCATTTTCAGCGAAGAAAGGCATAATCTTTTGAAGTTCAGGTAGATACAGTGGATTTGTTTCATTAAAAGAAACCAGCTTAATGCTGGATGTTGCATGATCAGAGAAGGACAGACACATGCATACATTACAGAATGATGCATACAGCACACACTGAAATTACAAAGCACAAACTCACTTCGGTTCGATGTCCTGAGAAGTGTTTGAGACGAGCTCTAATTTCTGATCTGCCACCACCAACAATCAGTTAAAGTAGTTGATCTGGATCCAGGGAAAATGACATGTCATCTGAGACATGTGATTATGCAGAGCAACTGTAACTAAACGAGATAGACGACAATGCCACAGCTTCAGCATCTTTATCCAATCAAGTGACATCACATCTGTCAGGGGCAAGCACATTTTTGCATGATGCTGAAGAAACTTGAACTGCATGTTAAATTCGAACATGTCTAATCGTGGTAATATAAGAAAAGGCAATAGTATGGGGAGTTTTTTTCTCAACTTTTTTGTGTTTATTACCTAAAACTATATTTTGACAGACTTTAGCTCTTATAAATACACTATATACCGCACTGCATTGCAAAATACTTTGTTTTTCAAAGTGTACTTGGGAACGTTGGTCTCAATGCTAGCACCAATCATAAAACAAAGATAGTTCTTGGGATTTTTTTTGGTTTAAGGCACTTCCTGGTAACGTTAATGAAGATCTCAGGACACGATCTTGTTTTTATTCTATTCTGTCTCTTTGTTTCTCAGCATTTCAGGGAGTTTCTAACTATGCATGTTCAATAGCTTCACTTGTTGCATTGCTCAAAGCAGGACAGTCTCAATCCCAACCCCCCCCCAAAAAACAATATTAATGGTCTTGCCACAACTTGCAGCTAAACAATGTCCTGTTTTGTTGTCTCTTACACCTCCATTTCTTGTTGTCCACTCTGTCCTGGTATCGCGGGAACTGCGATGTCGAAGCAGGTCTCCATCATTACACGAGACTTGCATAGGTTGACACAAAACTCCAGGTCTCCTGTGGCCTGAGCTAGAGCCTCCAGGTAGGTCTGCGACTCCTGGTCCAGATCAGGGTCCACATCAACTAAAGAAAAAAAGGGTGAAAAATGTTAAAGTCGTCATGAAATCAAATTTTACCATTCGTATTTTTATTTAATATTGTAGTGTTTTTTATAAATGATTTATCTGTGCACTTCATTATTTTTTTTTAATTCATGTACCCTTATAATCTTTAATCAAATACGTTACCCTTCCCTCCCCCCTCGAAACGACTTCTCTTCTCTTCCGGTCAAAAACTATTACTAGAGGGCGTGGCTATTGGGGTCTGTCTCGTTTCTGGCCCGCCTCTCAGAAACCTGTCAGTGTCACTGACAGCCAGCAAATATGGTGTTTAGGTGCATTTTTGGTTGCGCTCCTCGTGTCCTCTTTCCTATCCCTAAACAACCTTGTCTGCGTGCCCGCTGGCTCGAATTCCTGCATTTCGAAGAAGGAGGAATAACGGCGAGTTCGCGTCTGTGTGCAAGGCATTTCACTGAAGAATGTTTTAAGAATTTGGTACGATATAAAATGGGATTAGTCTTGGTTCGCGGGAGGCTCATATAAATATGGGGTGATTCCTTACGGAAAATTTGGCTGCTCGTCCTCGTTCTCATTGTCGGGTTCCTCAATTAAAAATTCTTCATGGGAGGGTAACGGTGGTAAGTCTGGTGGAGAGAAATCCTCCACAACTGACTGTAAACTGGCATTCAAATCTGCCTCCATTTTGTTAGCAACGCCCAACCTCCAACGATCCAATCAATTCCCGAAGGACGAAATCAAGCCCCGCCCTACATTTTTTTCTAATGTCAGAAGCCGTTTCACTCGGATACACGTCACAATAAGGAAAAAAGGACAATCTCAACTTCCGTTTCATGACGACTTTAACAAAGTTGATATTTTGAAACTTTCAGATTATTAACTAAGGATGTGAATTTGGATGGATGGACGGATGGATGTGGATGGATATGGACATAAATATACTTTTTGTAGTATATTTGTCACAGTAGTATATTTATGAATTTTTGTCACTTTTTGTAAAGTTACTCAATGAGTACTCGTCTGCCACAATAACTGTAATGTTTTAAATTATCTTTATTTAGGAGTTTTTCCTCAGCAAGTATTGATTTGCACGGAAAATGTGATAAATTAATTTTCATTTAAATACAGTCGATTGACAGTCCTAATTAAAACATGAATATAAATATAAAAATCAAACCATCTCTAAAATAAATGCACACAAGGAAGACACATTATTGTATGACACAATAAGGATGTGACTGCGCATCCCCACTGACACACCTAGATTGATAGTTTTATCACTCAAGACATAAACAAAAATCTATGCAGGTGATAGTTGGTTGATGTAGGAGATGGGCTTGCAGAAACACCATCCTCATTTTACTGGGCTCTGAAGAGGAGCTGATTTATACAGCATGACAGCCCCAATCATAGCTTTACCCAAGACAGCAGTCACGGATGAATAGTAAACATCACCTGACCAGTGGGCAGGTAGTGATTGCAAAAGAGAAAAATAATACCTTATTGATTCAAGAACACACACAGGCACGGATATACACTCGCTCTCTCCATGCGCCTGCCATTTTCTCTACATTATGCTTTTACGTCCTGTTATTTCTGTTTACAAAAGTGTGTCTTCTAGCAAAGCAGAGACAGATACTTTGCAGTATCAAGGTTCTTGTATTGGTCCTTTGTTATAGTTGTTATTCTTTTTTATAACTGAAACTGAGGGATGAATACAGAATAAAACAAAGAAAGAGAATCAGCAGAGCTTTTTTTTTGCTGCTGGCAATGTTCTTTTCCATTCCCAGTAAACAAAACTAATAACATGATTCAGATATGATACTGAAAGCCTTTGAATTTGTTAGAGAAAATCCTGAATTACAATAATAAACTGTTTGCTGAATAGTATGCTATTGTGATTCTGGTCATTGTTAGCCTGAAGGTTAAATGTAGTAAAGTTCAGAGTTCGTTCTTACAGCTTACACGATGTCTACAACAGCTTGAGGCCGTCTATTTTCATCCTCAGACGTCACGCCCACGGACCATTGGCTGAACATGCATAGGGCACAAAAAATTGGAAACTCTGATTGGTTGAATTCTACAGGATTTCCAGGAGACATGTTTTGCATTTTTTAACGATCTGCCTGGAAACAAGCCCGCTGTAACGGCAAAGCCCTCTCATGGAAGAAGAAATCAGTCGTGTTTACAACTGTGACAATGAGCACTTATCAGGATCAACTAATCGCTGTATTTTCAGTATGTGAATTTCAAGGCATAGACTCTTTAAAATACTACCAAGAGTTTTACACTCCAGTCTGTTATTGTAGGGACATCGACATTTCACGCCCCTAAACATGACGCTGAACAAAGCGAACTGTGATTGGTTGTTTGACATGTAAGTCACACAGCCTCTGGATGGTCCTTGGCCAAAGGCGGCTGCTGTAACCGATCCTACTCAATCCGCTCGGGGCGGAATTCGAACTGAGGTCTCCGCCGTGGGAGGCGGGCGCTCTAATAAGGAGGCAGAGACCACAGCCTTTAGCGTCAGTCGCTAGAGCGCCTCTTGTGATCAGGGGAGTGAGGTTTACACGCACAGCTCTTATTGCCCTAGGAAAGTTACACTGCTATGGAGTCCAGACCTTCTGTCGTCAATCTGAACGTCTGGCTACGAGAGACTTAAGGCTGTCTACACTGGATGTGACAGCGAATGTTGCAAACATATTTGTTCTTTGTGTCTGAAGTACTGTGAGGGCTTGGAGTACATCAGAAATAGAACGGGGCATCAGTTTACTGTTGGGGATCGGTTGTGTCGAGAGTCGCGCCGCTCGTGTCTGGTGTAGACACGTGTTAAGAGTTGAAGGCAGCAACAGTAAAGGAGAATTACAACTACAAAAACCTCAACAAATCTTTTTACAGTTTAGGTTTATGGAGAATAATCTGGAAAGCCAAAGTCATCCATCCTTGCAATACATTGTCTCAGGCACCAATTCAAAGTAGTCAATGCTCAAGACATTTCTGTGAATACACCATTACCTCAGCATTTTCTTGTAAATCCACTGGCACTAAGTTCAGACACTTAAATTAAAGTCATAAAGGGAGCCATTGGTCTACATCACATTACTGGGAAACACATGTTGTTTAGAATGCAAGGTAAAATGAATCATTCCTGTCATTGATTCATGCTAGAGCATCACAGTAAAAATGCCAAAAGAGAAGTGGTTTTGGCTAAAGGGATGTGGAATTGTGTGAACACGGAGTAACTTATGTATATCACACCACTTTAGTTTAGTAAAACAAAAGTGTGACAAAAACAAAATGTACACACATTTGTTTGTGATAATTGTCATCAGAATTGAACAGCACACATATTGTATACACACCATGGTAATACCTGACTATCTTCAGTGTCAAATAAATCAGTGGGTTTCAAACATGGATCAAAACGGGCCGCAAAGACGTCACCGGAAAATTAGCATAAGTCAGGCATCAAAGATAACTTCAGATATTAAATATGCTCAACACAATTTTAAATACATCATGTTCATTATTTTTTTTAAACAGAAATTATTGCACATTTTATTCTATTGCCAGCCCTAGTTAAAAAAAAAAAGTGGATAGAAAAAAGACTGGCCAGCTTAATACAAAGTAAATATTCTCAAGATAACATCTTAATAATTCGTTTTGGTTTTAGTGCAGACATAACATAAAATTCAATCATTTAATTTAGAAAACAACATGTTGTGTTTATATCATGCTTAGATGGGTCTTTATACATAAAATATATATTTGCCATAATAATACCTTGGTCATAATTTTGGGGTCGTTACATAAAAAACAATCAAAAAATCCCTGACACATTCAATAATACACTTGGGAACTTACATTCTCCCATCCATTTGCTGGGGTCCAGCATGAGACGAGACTTGGCGTCCTCCAACTCCTTTTTCAGCTTCTCGTGCTTTGCTCTTAACTCCCTGATCTCCTGCTGCCTCTTCTCCAGCATCCTAAGGCGGGCGTTGAAGTACTGCAGACCCTGCAAGTGTGGGACAGCAGTGTGAGTTGTGCACAGTGAACCACAAACCTCTTGTACCTATTTCAAGCACCTGCTAGACTACGTGTGACCCTCCTCAGGGCCGATTTAAACTGCAGTGGCTTAAGCTGAATTGATTCAATGCTCGCTAACCTGTACAGAGGATTTAGGTCCTCAGCATTTTGGTCAGATTAATTAGGGCAAAGCTGGAAATAAAATTAGTATCAGGTTAAAACACTCACTGTTCTCTTAGATGCACGTTGCTTAAGGGACTAAAAAGAGAGATTACGGTAAGTTCAAGAGGAACTGGTTACTGAAAGGTTAAATTACAGGATAGATTCCTCCTGTCATGTGCAGTCTGTCATTGACAGGCGGCCATTATAAAGCAAATTAAGAAAAAACTATTAAAATTAAATAACTTTTTCTTATCTGCAAGTATCTCAGTTACGTGAACTACAGATGAAGAAAAACTCATTCAAGCTGTCGTTACTACTGTATGCCCACAGAAAATAGGATTTAATTTCACGAAACATAAATAAACCTAGCAGTTATACAACCTCCAACCCACACACATACATACAGATTCGCATAAAACAAGAGGGTGAACAGCCTAATTCTTCATGAGCAAACTGCCAAACTCTAATATGCGAGCTGAGATTTTTTTCTTAATTGAAAATAAATCAGAGCACCATTCGACTGAGTTAATGTCTTTTCCTCTCGTCTTCTCCACACAATTGACTGTGTGAACAGGGTTAGAAACTCACAGAGAAACGGTTAATGACCCATGGACGCGCTGTGTGGAGTGAGCCATAAAGACCGATCAGGCGGGCCACAGATTGTGGAGCCACACCTCATTCATCACAGACACCCATGACCATTCCCCAATGCGCTCTCTCCTTCTATCTCTCTCACCATCTCTTCCTCTTTCTGAAAAGACCTTTGCCAATCTTTCCACTTCTTTTTGCAGTACAGCACCCAGTCATCCCAGTCTAACTAAAGTTTTTAGTGCAATCTAATATCAATTAGCCAACATAAGTAATTGTCACAGAGATAAGTTTCATTCCTGACAACTGCACTTGTAACAGGATGTAAGAGAGACATCAGAATTGTTGCTAATGCTTTAATGAGTTCAGCATAAATGAAAAATTGATTTTACTCCATCATTCTGGGATTGTGCCACATTGTAGATTTGTTTTACAAAGAAGAAATATTCATTTAAAAAGTTAGATAAAGGGGAAATATCTACTCCACTTCTACCCTCATAATAACACTTATAGTTATTTTTTAACCAATGGCTTAGCATTGCATGACATAAAATACTTGAAAACATTCACAGTTTTTTATTTCTATAGACTTTTGGTATATACTTCAGAATTAAAGCAGAATGAGATACAAATAGCATACAAATAGCATCTTACTTCTGCCAACCCTTCTTTTCGTCTCTGAAGACGTTCCACATCATCAATCTCGTACACTTTGATCTCAAAGGGTTCCTTTATAGTACCCCCCAGTGGGGGTAGATCAACCCACTGGCCTGCTGCACCAACCTTCCTGCCCAGAGAAGAGGTGTCTGGCAGAGGAGCTGGAATCAGACGCCGTCGCTGCAGACCTGGAGGGGTCACACAGGGCAATGCTCTTCATGCGGGCCAAAGATGAACAGCAGACTTTGTGGGCATGCTTTTAAATATTCATGAGGCTTGCAAAAGGTTACAGCATTTAAAGCAAAAGCGATTTTTGAGTAACTGCAGATTCAGCATGGGACGAATGCATATTAAACACCAGATATACTTGGAAGCTTGGATTCATAAATCTAAATTAACTAAATAGACTGATGGGATGGCATGATTTATTATTATTAATTAATCTATATTTAAATACAGATTTGAAATCAACATTTAAACTAAAATTAATTTTGTTTAAGGTGGGTTCACACTTTATGTTTATGATCTTTTACAACTGTTGCTTGTCAGACTTTACTGTATTGTCCCTTCACTTTTCAGCGCTGCGCTCGTTGTCTTTTGTCTTCCGGTCTGTATTTTCACAGCGATCTTACGTATTTATGAATGAACGGCTCGATTTAAAATCGCCCCGGTCTACTGACATTTGTTAAGACATCTGCTTTAAACATTACAACCCTCATGATAACTTATGTTAACTTTACAATAAGTAAATCCACTTCACCAGCTAATTACTCCTTGACAGCGATGCCATAGAAATATACAGAGCGACAGAAAAAAACGGAAGTTCAAAGACAATATTCTAAAGATGGCTGCACGCTTGTTTCTCTGGCGCATAAAATTATATCAGACTGTATAATGCACATCACAGAATTTGGACCCGATTGTCCTATCATACTGGATGACCGTAATGTAAAAGACATTCTATCAAAATGTTAAAATAATAATTTGTGGTCCTCTGTATCAAATGTCTAGATAGTTAATGGACAGATACATTAAACGTCTTAACTATAGAAACAGTGAATTGCAGAGACTCACCATTCTATTTTTTAAAGGCCATCTAATAAATTAATCTTGAATTGATCACCAGTAAATATTGCCCCAATTGCCTTGACAGTAAAACCTACCATTAGATCTCTTTTTGGGAGATTTTGAGGTCTTTGTTCGACTGGACGTGGACACTCCACTCTCACTCATGGAATCATGGGCAGAAGATGCACTGCCTGTGGTTTCACTGTCCCTGATCATGCTCTCATAGCCACTGCTGCCTCCACTGTGATAAAAAAGTGCAGTGCGCCCCATGGCAGGGGGCAGCTCACCACTAAGTACACTGCTGTTGTCACTACCGTGGCCACTACTGTAGCGCTGTGGACGGCGAGGGGCAGTGATTTTGCTGTACGGAGAGGGTAAACAAGCAGCCAATGGCATTTCACTGGAAGTTCGGGCATCATTGTTGCCATCTGCTTGGTCAGAGCCCCTGAGGTTTTTCTTGGAGCTACCAACTGCTAATTCACTGACCCGACTGTTAGCTGCACGAACCGCTTGCTTTGTGCTTATAATAGTGCCCCTTCCTTGTTTAACATTGGAGCCTGTGACAGAGCGATTTGGAGGTTTTCCAGTTGGAGGTAGACTGGTGTTCCGAGCAGCTGTGACGGCAAGGAACTTGGTGGATGAGCTAAGGGCCTTTGAACCAGTACTCGACAAGGACTTTCCTTTGTTGCCATTCCCAACAATGGCTCTAGGGGTTATACTGGCCTTTATCTGTCCAAGCTTACAAATTCCACTAGTAGATGGAGGGGAAGTTGCAGTTGGTGTAGATATGGAACAGGGAGTCCCAAGTTTTGGTACCATTTTAGCAGATTTGCCAGTGCTACTGATACTGACATTACTGTTCTCCCTCGAGGTTACTGGTCTGGAACCCACTGAGGTTAAACTCTCACACCTTTCAAGGGACATAAGACTACCAAAATGCCTTCCATTGTCTCCTTTAGCACTATGTGATCTGAGACTAGAAACTGTCTTCAGGCTAGATGATTTAAAGCTAAAGGATTCCCCCCTAACACGTACATCAAAGTCTTCCTCAGAAACCGATGCTTTGGAGGAAGACAATCTTGTTCCATCCTTACCCACAGACTTTAAGGCACTAGGAGACAACAAAATTCGTGTTTTCTGGTCGAGGCTTGACTTTCGAACAGGTGGAGCAGGGGGTGACATGCTTCCAGACTTAGGGAGCATACTACCCTTCTGTCCATTAGCTCTCTTTCCTAAGGATGAGAATTTCAGGCTACCAGTTGTGTGCGAGGCATCATTACCCCATTTCGTCTCAGAGGAGCTATGGGGCACTGAAACCATGCCGAGAGTGGTGGCCCCCCGCTTGAGCTGAGGCATCTTGCTTAGGTCCCCTTTCTTAAAACTGGCCTTCTCACAACCATCTACAACCCTTTGAGATGTGGATGACACATGCATTTTGGAAGGGCGAGGTACACTGTTGCTATTCCCGCTTGTCTTTCTAGATGGAATCCCACTCATGCCATTTTTTGGTTGTTTACCAACAGAGCTAAACTCAGAATTCCTGGCTGATGTTATCGCACTACTAGTGTGGGTCCATTGTTCATCTATTTTGCTACCTTGGCGTTGCAGCTCATGGGTGTAGCTTTTGCTAGAAGATGCAATTTGGGTGCTCTTTCTAGGGAGTGTAGAAATATATGAGATCTGGGCAGACTGTGAAGTCATGAGTCTATTAGATTTCATTGACTTTGGACCACAGAGGGATGCTTTGGTACTGTCATGAGAAAGAGGGCACTTAGATATGGACAATTTGTCAATGGTTGCAGAATCATAGTCTTGTTCCGAAAAGCAAATTCCACTGTCACCCAATGAACTATTTGTTCTTTGCTGGGAGAAAGACTCAACTTGTAAACCACCAGGTAAATCCATCAAAGAGCTGCTGACCGGTCCCTTGCGCACTCCCTTTGATGAGAGGCTCCTTTTAGTCTCATCACTACTCGGGGTACAAATATTTGTCCTGCAAGACCAGGAGCTGATTGAAGAGTGTGCAGTGGCATGTCCATCTGTAGATTCCTCTTGTGACTTGGAAGCAGCACCTTGGTTCAGCTGGGATCTGTTTATCTGGCATGTGTAAGCATCAAACTCATCGTTGATGCTACTGATAATGCTAACAGGCCGTGAGTGAGATGCCAGGGGCTGCAAAGAGCAGTCGCTATTGAAGCTAATGATGCTGGAGGGTCTCCCATTGTCTGGAACCAGGCCAGCAGGCAGCTCTTCAACCACTGTAAACACCAGCTCATCCTCTCCATTGAGCTCCACCGGCTGCTGCAGTGTAACTGTAGTCCTTAAAACATCGCTATCAAGGCACCTGTTCCTCAAAGTAGCTCGTAGGTGGCTCACCTCTATAGGACTTCTACTGAGGTGATGGAATCTTTCAGTAATTGGGGAGTCATTTCGTTCTCCCTGTCTTAGGGCTTGCTGGCTCATACCCACTGGAGGTGTCCGTGTGGCTAAGCCATACTCCGTATTAGGAACTGAGGTCTTTGAGATGTTCTGTGAGGACGAGGCATGGGGTTTTTGTATAGGCCCTCTACTAAAGACTTTCTCTCTCACAACAGGCTCTGAATCTTGCCTTAAAGTCGTGTTAATTTCAGATGTGGCTCCATGTTGCAGGTGTGCAAGCTTTTGAAGAGGGGACTTGGCGGTCCTGGATGACACAGAAGCACCTTCTGACATTTTGTCTGCTCCACTTTTGGAGGCTGTCTGTTGGCATTTTTCTTCACTGGTGAAAACAGATGTGCTCTCACTGCCATCAATAAACTCAAGCCGTTCTTGTAACTCTGCAAAGGTGTTGCATTTGAGGTGGTCCCCATCAGATTTCGGTCCTTCTTTTACACGCTTCTTGTTTAGGGAGGGAATGATAGGAACAAATGCTGGAGGGCCTTCATTGTCGCTGAGTTCACGGTCAGAAATAGGGGCCCCACCAGGCCCCACATAGATCACTGTATCACATGAGTGCTCACTGCTTGAAGAGTAATCTGGATCACTGGATAACATTGCAGGGTGGTCTGGGTCAAGAGCCACAGTCCGAGGGTAGAAGGGTCTTCGTCTGATATGTCCCTCTTCACAGGAGCTCTCCCCTCCAGAGGAACTTGATGCATACTGAACAGAATAACATACCACACTGACTTCAATATATCTTTGCAGACAGTTCATTCACAGCATGCAATAAATTCAGAGAGGCGTCCCTTTATGAAACATGTTAATATCAGCAAAAGTTAAAAGTGCACAGCAAAGAAGAAGCTAAAAATGTTGCCAATACTATGCGCAAGTTAGGCACGGAAAGGATTTTTTTTAGATCTATAAAATATTAATATATTCTGTCAAAACAGCTTAATTGTGGTGAAAATTGCCTGTGTGATGAGAAAGGTTACATGCTGTTCTCCCTCTGGAGAAAATGCATTGATTACATTTGTTGATTACATGACATAGGTCACTGAGAAAATTTGCAGTTAAATTATCTCCTTAACATTTGTTTCTCTGACAAAAGAACAAATCATTATTTAAATTGTGAAAGCCAAAAAGTAATTTAGGAAAATAACAGTCATGATCTATTGTAGAATGTATACAGACACAAAATAAATAAGAAATTGACACAATTCTGACAAAAATAAATACTTTTTATGTTTTCATTGTAGTAGAGTCAAAATAAATTATTTAAAATATATATAAAAATGATCTGTAAAATATTATTGTTAATTAAAATAATTTATAATTATTCAAATATAGTTATATAGTGTTTTCACCATAACAATTGGTCCAAAACATTTTTTTTCATAATTGTTTTACTTTTAGAATAAACTTTAGTGCAGTACTTGCTTTCTTGTATGGTTACGTTAGTACCAAGAAATCAGTGCTTTTTAAAGTATTTTAAAAAGACCATGAATACACAAGCATACACAAATGATCAATATATCAGTTTGAATTACATACCTTGGATTTCTTCTTTCTCATGCGGTGAATACGAGAGGCAAGCTGCACAGTGGTAAGAGATTCAGCATAATTGGCTGGCGAGTCAGAGATGTGGGCGATCATGGTGGTTCTACAGTTGATGTTGCCCAGCGATTCCCTCAGCAGCATGGTAAGCTTGCTGTCTCTGAATTATACATCAAAAAATCTTCTAGTTAGCCAAAAAGGAAGCTAGGCCTTACAACGTTCTGCCTCTCTCTCTCTCTAAGACCACTGAGAGGTTGTCTTAAAATAGAGGATTATGAATCATACTTGAATAAAAGAAATCCCTCCTTTTGATGCTCACTTTCTAGTGACCTGATTTAGAGTGTTTATATTTTATTCTCTTGTGGAGGATGTTATTTTCTGAAGCCACATTTAAAAGATTTTTTTTTTTTTCTGCTCATGCCACTGTATTTCCTATCCCACCTTCCAGTGAGTATTTCTTAGACCTCTTTCAGCATAAATGTGTTACTCCCCAACCCACATTCCTTTCAATATATCCCACCTCAGTGCAATTCCAACTGGGTGCATTCTCTCTTTGCAAAGCTGGCTAATTGGCTTTATTGATCTGAGGGGAGTGATAAAGAAACCCTTGTAGATGCAGATCAGGAGGTCTCAGTGGGTGAACAGTGCCATATTACTACTTTATGATGTTGACACAACATCTCCCACTATTGGTCTGTATTGATTAATTGAACCACAAAACACATACCTGTATGGCACATGCTTGGCTCCATTGGCCAAAGCGAGGATGACATTTCCAAGGGCACCCAATGACAGACATTGGCCTCTCCCTCCATCTCGTGTATGGCTCAGATCAGACTCACAACTGCCTAAGTCCAGAAGATGCAGACGGCTACGACTTCCAGACACTGCAAAGTTATACACAGCCTGTCAAAACAGAACTTGACTTCGAATTTCCATGTAAAAAACACATCGTTTGACTGTTTACAGGGCATGTCTTTATTCCAAAACCCTAAACATTCCAGAAATATATAAAAAGCGTAGACATCCATGACAAAAACATGTAAAGCTCCATTTTTACACAAAGTAAGACTTCTGTCCTGTTTAAAAGCCATCAGCAGTACCAAAAAAAAAATAGGCAAACAGCTAATGTTGCTACTGTATGTCCGGCCAGAGAGCAACTGTTAACATTTTTTTACCTATGAATGGTTAGTTGTCTCTTTGCATTAACCTAAGATGGGAGAAAGTATTTTGTTATCAAAAAGGCCACTGGTCACATTGGGGACCTTATGAGATAGCAGTTGGACATAGCATCTTTGCTAAGTGGTGATTCAATATCCTTGGCAGTCCATCAAACAGCAAGCAATAAAAGTAAGTACAGCTAGTTAGATTACAGTGTAGGTCACTAGACTAAAATTCATTCAGGATCATTACAGGAGATTCATTTATTTCACACTGAGAATCGTGGCCATTAACCTCACGTCGGCAGGATTTACAAAGCCAGCGCTCGGAACTGAAACCCTCAGTGGAGCAGGAATGCAAACGAGCTTCTCATTTCATGCTGAGCTCTATAAACACCTCTGCAGAAGAGACTCCAACCTCATTACATATTAAAATCTATTCTGGCTAGTGTCAATGACCAGCACCCAGCCCGCAATGCAGTGACGGGAGAGCAATACTAATGATCATGCTAATGTTGACATGCTGATTTGACAGGATGGCTACGCCCAGTAATGAAAATGTGCTAACCCTTCTTGTTAGCATTCTCGTAGAACCGTTATCAGCGGGGATAAATTGAGGTAACTGATATTCTCTGTGAACATGGGGAGAATGATAATGGAAAAGTCAGGTATCGTCTTGCCCTCGGTAACAGTCTTCTCAAAATACTAATGATGCATAAAGATATATGATATGAAATCTTGGACAGTGATAAGAGGGTAAAACTTAATTTGTGAGGTTGAGGTAAATTACCTTTGAAGTAAAAGCATTTTAAGGCCTGGATGTTACAGTATGGCTGTTTAGCAAAATGTACACATAGTTGTGAAAATGAACACAGTGAGCCATACTTCCTGCTTTGGTGCTCTTCTCCATACGGTACTGGGAAATATGTAGGGTGAAGAGCATGTGAGAATTCCAGCGGTCCTCTTCCTTGCAGTCAGATCTGCTGGTGCTGCGTGCTGCCAGTGCTGCATCCAAGAAGAAAGCCGCCTTCTCTGCAGAGTACGCCCGTAACTCGCTCTGGTTCTGCAGCTGGACATATTTTAAAGTGAGAGTGAGACAGAGATAAAGAAAGACAGAAACAACTTGTCAGTAAATTAGATGACTTGAATTTACTGTACATTACCGTTCAAATGTTTGGGGTCAGTTCGTTAAAAAAAAAAAAAAAAGTTTTTTTTTCTATTTTGAAAGAATTGAATGAATCCCTTTTAAGCAAGGATTTACTACATTGATCAAAACAGACATTAAAGGACCTTATACTGTTCAAAAAGATTTCTTTTCAAATATGTGCTGTTATTTTGAATGTACTTTTCATCAAAGATTCCTGAACACAAAAATATTAACCAGCACAACTTTTTTCAACATTGATAAAAATAAGAAATATTTCATGATCACCAAATCAGCATATTCAAATGATTTCTGAACACTGTGACATTGAAGACTGGAATAAAGACTGCTGAAAATTCAGCTTTGCTATCAGGATTATATTAAGTTTTAATTTATAATAAAATAGAAAACAGTTATATTGTAATAATTATATATAAACAGTTAAACTATAATGATATATACAATATTATTGTTTTTACTGGTTTTTTTTTTTAAACAAATAACAGCCACGGTGAGAGAAAAAGAGACCTTTTTTTAAAATTATCAACCCCAAACTTTTGAATGGCATAAACAAGACATAATGTGGCACCTAAAATTGTTACATTTACACTTTTTTTAAACTTTTTTTTTTTTTTAAGAAATAAGTTATACATTCCCAGGAAATCAAATCCATGACCTTGGCATTGCTAGCACAATGCTCTATTATATGAGCTACAGGAACATTGTGTAGACCTACACCTGCTAAAAACAAACTCTAGTGCACCTGGGATCCACAGACTGGGTCCTCTTTCAGGGAAATTCCTTCTCCCTGACTGTCCTGGGTAGTCCCTTTGGAAAAGTCAGCCAACAGGTCTCTCAGCACCTCCTCCCTACCACAGATTTCCACAGCGGACACACGGATGGAGAATCGTGTGCCGGCCTTTTCTTTCCTTTCCTCAATGAGCTTGAAGAGCCAAGATATAGCACAGGGTGCCACACCTAAGCTCTGTGTAGAGCTGTCCCTGCCGATCATGGTGTAGCTTTTGCCTGTGAGGTAAAGGTGAACTATGGTGAGCTGGCATTGCTGATGTAACCAAATATTCAAGATTTAGTGGCTGAACATAAAATATTTGTATTTACTAAATGTGATAAAGACTATACAAATAAGCTAGCAGCATTTGTCAACACTGTGACATTGTCACCTGATTAACTTAGCTTGACTTAACTACATAATGATATAAGAGCAGGTATATAATAAGATTTGTGTTAAAATTAGCAATGTGCATGTAAAACGCAGCTGAGCTAATAAAATTAACCCAACAGGATGTTAGTCATGAGAGAATATAGCACACTAAAGCAGAGCAAACAGCAGAGCCAAGCTAACTATGGGGGATTTAAGCAGCGCAGTGGGAGGCACACAATCTCTCACAGTGAGGGGCTCAACAATAAAAGTAGAAGAGACTGAGCGCTTTTCAAACACAGAGTGTAAAACAGGGCCACTTTGTGTTCAACAAACTGCTATTACTGCTCAAACACATATGCCCTCTCTGCGTTTTCCTCCTTGTTAGGCGATTTCAAGTGCAGCCAAAACATTTGTATATTTCGCATCACTTTGCCTTTCGCCTCATGTGAGTAATGGCTACTCCATCTGAAAATGGATTCTGAACAATGCATTTTCTTTCAAAGCATGAGGAGTTGTGACAGAGGGAGTTGGGTTATCATAACAATAATGTTAATTACTGTAAATAAATAAATAAATAAAAGTGGGATACTAGGTTTAAATAGAGGTTTACTAACCAAGGTTGGCTTGACCAAAACAGAAGATGCAGCCATCTGCCCCGTTGACCACAGATTGGATAACCTCTGCCACTGTCCCTGAGCATACCTCTGCCTGAGGATACAAACCCAAATTTAAACATCAAATCAAAACATTTTCAAACCAGACAGACAGAATGATAGATAGGACGACAAACAGAACAATACATAGAATGACAACAGAGAGAATGACAGACAGCCAGATCAATAGGCATTTCTGTCAGGACCACTATCGTCAAATACGATTGACAATTAGCATACAGTTTGGATTGGTGGTATGGTTCCGTTCTGGGCGAGAACTCCCTACGCATTCATGCAGCCTAGCATGGATAAGAGCAGGGAGAGCGGCAATAACCCCCCTTAGGGTAAACAGAACAGAACCAACTTGAATGTATTGCAGATATCATGAATTAATTTTAATGACAACATAATTAGAGAATTTTAGTCTGATTCAGGGGTAATCAGAATGCCAAATCCTGACTGACGAGAGGAGGAGCTGGGGATGGAGGAGGGTCATTAGCTCCTGAGAAATGCGACAGCTGCTGAAAATACTAAAGGAGCTTATATATGTACACAGTGATAGGCGTCATATTCCTATAGGTAGACGTGAATCAGCTGAGAATCAGCTGATGCAAGCTTGACTAACGTGACCTGCCAGAACTAACGCTACGCTTGATTATGACAAACAGAGAGACAGACAAAACGAGACAGATAGAATGACAGACAGACAGACAAAACAATGGACAGAATGACAGACAAAACTAGGCAGATAGACTGATAGGCAGATAGACTGATAGGCAGACAGACAAAACAATGGACAGAATGACAGACAAAACGAGACAGAAAGATAGAATGACAGACAGACGGAACAATAGATAGCATGACAGACAAAACGAGACAGAATAATAGAACAACAGACAGAATGATAGAACTATAGATGGATAGACTGATAGACAGAACGATAGATAGAATGAAAGACAGACAGAACAATAGATAGGATGACAGACAAAACATAATGAGACAGAACAATAACAACTATAAATGGATGGATTAATAGACAAAATGATAGAAAGATAGAATGACAGATGAGATAGACAGCCAGAACGATAGAGAACAATTCCCCATGCAACATCTTGCTTGTCCTTGCAAACTTTCCAAACAGATGCAGAATACAGTAAGGACACAGATGAAGATTTTAAACCTTGGAATTGTGTGTATTTTGCAGCTTGAGGAAAGCTTTGACAGAGTTGTTGTAAGAACAACCTCTGATGTGTGCTCGCTCAAAGCCTCTTTTGTTCTAAACAATGTGGGGTAGTCATTGATCATCAGACCTGATGTTTCTAGGACAGGAAGCCCAAAGACTCCAAACTCCCAGAGAGTTCAGGAGGAAGCAGAGAAAAGAGCTCTGTTATCTTTTCCTCTGAGATCACTTCAGGCACTGTTGGCTCAGAATGATAACCCCAACTCTCCAACCCAAACCTTTAATTTCCCTCACAAACCAAGCAAAGCGGAAAAGCTCTCTTACAAATTGCTTTGATCTCAGCATGGATGTCCTGCCAGTTGGAAATCAAATCTATGTATATTTTTGCTTAAAATGAAATTATAAATACAGACAGGACATTGATGAATTCTCTTTGGTATAACTTGCAAAATGCTCGCTTATATTACTCCGATTGCCAAAAATGTCTGCATTTATGCCCCTTACTGTACCTGTGAAGCATCTTGAGTGAAGACGGCATCAAAGGTAAACATCTTTGGGGCGGTGGCAGAGGTGGAGCGTGTGCAGGTGGGTGGCTCACAAAAGGTCAGCTGTTTCTTATGGCCATCTACCTTGAGAAAGGACATGGATTCTGAGGTGTCTCGTGATCCTTTGGGAGGGCATATCCGCACCATTACTTTCACCTGCAAAGCACACAATTACATAGTTATATTATTACATAATTTTATTTGTGACAAGCTTGAATTTGCGGCTATACGGCTATAATTGCAACATCCTACCCGCTAATTCTCGCAATTATTGAGTGGTTTGTTGCAAGAACTCGTGCCAAGGACTCCCCTCATACTGGCAACTTGGAAAGCATGTAATCAGCAGAAGATGAATGTCGAGATTCCCAAAGCCCTTCTGTTCCCATAAGGGAACATCTTGCTGTAAAGTGTTGCTGGATTCACAAAACAGACCTGCCATGTTCTGACCAGACACTTCAAATCAAGATGAAACTTATCATCCAAGCATAAATATTAAGGAGCACAAACGTTTTTAACATTGATGATAATAAGAAATGTTTCTTGAGCACCAAATCAACATAGAATGATTTCCGTAGGATCATGTGACACTGAAAATGGAGTAATGGCTACTGAAAATTCAGCTTTGTCATCACAGGAATAAATTACAGTTTAAACTATAAAATAGAAAACTAGTATTTTAAATTGTAATAATATTTCACAATAGTACTGTTTTTACTGTGTTTTTGAATGAATACCCTAACCGATTGATCAGTAGTGTACTTTAGAAGCATTCAGAAGTCCTGGAACATTTTATATATCAAGACAGGAATATAATGGCGAGCAAACAGCATTTTGGATCGTGTGTTCCTCCCTGCCCTTGCTTCACTACGAGTGGGGATACACGCGATTTATGTGTAGTTTGTTTGGGAGTAGAGCATGCACGGTCAGCTCTAGTAAAAGGGGGCTGACAGGGTTTATTCATAAATTCTCGACGTGTTACATATGCGCTATCGAGAGTTTGAGCTCTACTCCTGTTGGCTTTCTTCTTGAGGGAAGAAAGTCAATACAAATTCTTTGGCTCGAATCTCGTGTTCTCATGTGCCGAGGCAGCGCGTAGATTACGGGGCTGCATAACGCCCAATTTATACTTCTGCGTCCAACTCACGCCGTAGCTACGTCGTAGGCTGTGTGTAGCGCGCGTACCCTGCGGCGTACCCTGACGTGCACCTCTCCAAAAATGTAACAACGCAATGAGGCAGTCTCCTCTGAAGTAAAGCGGTTAACACCTCATTATACGGTGCCCGCTGCCCTTCGGTGCCCTCAGGGGACCATTATGCTAACCCCACCTTCTTGTGTGTTTCGGGGCGCAGCGGTCTCCGGCGAGCACATATCTCAGGGTCCACCCGGAAACTTAGTGGTCCTGGTAGTGGTCCTGGGATGCCCGCCCCCTCCAAGGAGGGTCCCAGAGCAGTCAGTTCGGTTGTTCCCTGCCGGTTTGACGTACAGGGCACCGAATTGGTTGCTCGAGTGACACCTTAAATCAAAAAATCTTAGTAGATTTTTTGGCAGCGTGGTAACTACTGCCAAACATATCTCAACAGTAGCAGAGCGTCTGCTCCCGAGCCCCCACTAAAGGAAATGGGGTTGCAGCTAAAGTTCAAAATGTTAACACTGAGACAAATCGTGCCACAGATCAGATCCGAGGACTGGTTTGTCACGATAGATCTCAAGGACGCATACTTCCACATTTCCATCCTTCCATATCACAGGAAGTTCCTGAGGTTTGCTTTCGGGGGCAAAGCATACCAATATTGAGTTCTTCCGTTCGGCCTAGCACTATCACCTCGCACTTTCATGAAATGCGTAGATGCTGCTCTGACGCCACTGCGTCTGCAGGGTATTCGCATCATGAACTACATCGACGATTGGTTGATTCTAGCTTAATCGCATCAGTTGGCATTTCGGCATTGAGCCGAAAGAAAGAGTTGGGGTTGCGGCTAAACGCCAAGAAGAGTGTGGTTTCTCCACTACAGAGGACCACTTTTCTAGGTGTGGTTTGGGATTCTATGTTGATGCGGGCATGCCTATCACAGCACACGTAGAGGCCATCCTTTCGGCTGTGAAAAGAATAAAGCTAGGCCAGTCACTCACTGTCAAACAGTTTCAGAGGCTGTTGGGTCTGACAGCACCGTCCAACGTGATACCTTTTGGACTCTTTGTACATGAGACCCCTACAGTGGTGGCTCAGGACCAAAGGGTTTTTCCAGAGGGGCAACCCCTTTCGCATGATCAGGGTTACGCGGCGATGCTTACGTGCCCTGGTTATGGGGAAGAAACTATGGTTCCTGTCCCAGGGTTCCGTGTTGGGAGCTTCTTGTCATCGCAAGATGCTAGCGACAGATGCCTCTCTCACGGGCTAGGGAGCGATCAGTGATGGTCGCTTTGTGCCCGTGGATGGGTCACCATCTCACCTGGCACTTAATCACCTGGTGATGATGGCTCAGGCTCTACATCCAAGGGCACCAGATTCAGGGAGCAGACATCCTGTCGAGGCAGGGGCTGAGGCCCAGGGAAGGGAGACTCCACCCCGAGGTGGTGGAGCTCATATGGAGTTGCAGACGTGGCAGTACTGCATCTGTACATGGTTTCCCTGATTGTTCTACTTCCGGGAGTTCTGGGGAACAGAGTTATGGAAGTGTGGGTTTGGCCTCTGAGGGGGCCCAACTCATAGACTCAGGTCTCTCAACTGAGGTTGTTGAGGCCACAATCACTCTAGAGCTCCCTGCACAGGAAAAAAAAAAACAGGTTTCCTCCGTGGTGCGTTGGAGCAGGAGGAGTATGGCGGCTTTGTAGCCTTGTATTAGGGGTATCCCTACAAGAGGTGTGTGATGTGGCGGGCTGTTCCTTTCCGCACACACTCGTCGGGTTTACAACCTAGTTTTGGGCTTCACTCCTGGGTCCCAGGTGATTCTGTCTTTGTTGTGCTCACCTGATTTCACACAAGACTATGGTGGTGTTGGTATATACGTTCCAACTGCGCCAATCTCAACGTAATTTGAGTTCCCTTGAAAGGGAACGCCTCGGTTACGACTGTAACCTCGGTTCCCTGAAGAGGGAATGAGACGTTGCGTCACCCTGCCATACTTCCGGCGTGCCTGTGATCGACTTGCTTCGACCTATCAGAAGTTGACAATGTTTGGTCTGGGTGCGCTTTATAGCTTCCTGCCATGACGTCACCCGCCTATACGCCATTGGACTGATTTTCCAAGTGCTTCATGACGCAATCACGCAGACCATTCCCACAGCATCAATCTCGACGCAACGTCTCGTTCCCTCTTCAGGGAAACGAGGTTACAGTCGTAACCGAGGCGTTATGCACCAGTGTTATTTTCAGTCTAAGATAAATGCTTTTGGTTATTACTGTATAAGAAGTCATCTTCCTTATTAAATCAAAAAACTTCATTTAGGGGCCATGTCTGATAAAGTAACATCAACTATCTATAATTACTATGAGACACATGCTGGACTTAACACACTAAAGTTCCAGAAGGAAGGGTTACTGAAACTTGCATGCAACATCTATAATGTTTTTACAGTCTTGAACACAAGCAAATGAACGATAGCAAAATGAAACGACACATTCCGCACGACTGAGTTAGAGCAGTTTATTATTCACCTTCAGTGAAGCAATAATGTACTTGACTGTTAGTGTTTAACGCCTTATTTTATAGCTCTGCCACTAGGGACACTTTTAGAGTAGACAGCAACAAACAGCCCCTGAAGTTTAGAGTCCTCCACTGAGATAAAGTATTCAATTGGCAGACAATATGGATCTCTGTTTCCTGATCACACTATGTTCTGTACTCATAGTGACACATTTGGCATTAATAAAGACTGTTACAGACTAAGCTTTCCCTTCCAATAAATAGAAAGAAGATCAACGTCCTTTTAAAGTAACTTTCCTAGGCAAGATAAAACAAGACCAAATTAAAATATAAAACACTTTCACAACTATAAAATACTTTTACAACAATAAAACACTTTTACAACTTGTTAAGACGTGTTAGTCTAGAACCATAATTTTCATTTAGCCAGCATGATAATCCAGGTTCATTTCCAACATTAAAATAAAAACTAAAATAAATAAACTAAAAATTAAATAAGTAATGTAATTGCAACCGAACCTGACAGCAAGTGATCGCCATGTGTTTAAAAAGAACAGCGTTGACATTATGATAGAAATTTCTTTTGTGTTTAAATTACGAGTTTCAAGCAACTCGTTTTCAATGACACAATTCAAAAACTAGAAAATAGATATCAAAAAATAGAAAAAATAGAAAAATGGAAAATCAAACAATTCCCTTGAGTGCAAAAGCACCAGTGATTTGTCATTCAGTCATTTCCACACAGATTAACTTCCATTAGTGCTGCCTTCCCACAATCACCTGTTCCTCTCTACCTGCCATCTTCTAAGCACTTTGACATTTCCTTCCTCCAAAAATAAAGAAAATGAGAGTGTTCATACCCATTTCCTTCAAAAGTGCCTCAAAATCAGCAGGCAACACACTTCAACTCAGTGGGGCTTATTAGCAATCACTTCACTGTCTTTTGCTTGATAAACCTCATTAAAAACTTGCAGCTGCCTGCCTTTGGTGTGACTTTAGAAAACTTTAAATTGCCTATTGAGCACATCTTGTTATGCTGTGTATGCACAATGCAACAACACGATCAGGTGAACAATTAAGGGAAGGAAAATGATTTATTTACACAGTCTTCCAACTGCAATGGATATGATGATGTAATAAACTTTTCTTGAGATTTTAAGGAACAAGTCAGGTTACCTCACTGTTCTTAATGAGCGAATCGCCTCCCTGCAGACATGACGCCACAATAAACCTGCACCACCTGCTGGTGTTTATGAGTCAGCAGTCTATTATAGCATCTAATGCTAAGAACCCACATTATCTTCTTACTTTCCCACAGAGAAGTCCTCTTAAACCAGACTCTAATGGGTCCCATCTCTTTGAATTTATTTAGAGTGCATCACCTGTGCTGGAGGAGGGTCATACATGGGTCAGTGCAATCTTCCTTGTCTTTTAGACCTCCAGGTGGTGTTAAGGAAAGGAATGAGTTTGTTACCCAAAATAGCAGCAACATGTTGAGATGCTCATGATGCTCTAGACTAGAGTCCCATGAGAGAATATAAATGGAACTGTCAGTTACATGGCAAGATACAGCAGCATATGTACAGATGTTTCAGAGAAAACAGTCAAAAGACACGACCTCAGCTCATTATGGTTAGCAGGTTAATATTAAGCAGATGCTCTTTATACAAAGTGACTCAAAGTACACTAATTGCAGTAACAGTTCCCCTGGAGCGACCTGAGATTAAGTGCTTTGCCTAATGGGTACCAGTGTGCTTTAGCAGTACAGTGAACATAGTAACTGTCCAGACACTGAGAATTATGGTGTTTTTATAGGCAAAACAACTGGTCAACTCAAACCTGTATTGTCTGTGAGACTACATGAGGGAAATATAGGAATTCACAATATATCGGCACCATAACGCTCATTGGCGTTGGCCTATATTAGAAATGTTTAACATTTAATTGGGATTGGTTGATATTTAATACTGTTTTTACATTTAGATTACGTTTGCTGTCATCTAACGGTCACTTAAAGTTAAATTTTAGTTTAAAAACACTGATAAATGTAATCTTAAGCAAATCTCAAAAATAAAATGAATTTTCATACTGTACATTAAATTTGTGGGTATATAAGTTGGATGTCTAAAATTCACATGTAGAATTTCAAACAGTTTATTTTAGTTTTAAGTGTTTTATCTTTTATAAATTCAGACAAAGTTTAATATCTGCCATTTATTGGTTTTCAGCCATAATAATTATCGGCTTAACGTATCAGACATAATTTGAATACTGTGCATCCCTAAGGAAGATTCGTTTTATTCGTTTAATCTACTTCACTGTAATGCTCACAAACAGACGAGTTTTAATACTAAACTTCAGCATTGATACTAAACAATCAGCATGGGGCAGCAGGGAAGTCAGTTTGCTAATTTTACCCTTGCTATCTTAAAACTGACTTATTTTCTATTGCCTTACAATCCCAAAAAACATCTGATCTGTTGATTGTTTTTCATATACTTATAGGGAATCATCAAACACAATAATCCAGATGACAAAAAGTAATGCTCATAATTCTGGTGTTCAAATAATCCAAGAATGAGAAATCCAGAAATGGCCACTGGACTATCACAAACATTTCTATACTCAGACTGTCCCGCACTAATAAACAGCCCTATTCTGAGAGAGAAAAATGTCTTTTATCCAAATGCCCCCTGATGTCATTTTCTGACACTTCTGTTTTCATACATTGCTTTTCCCACTCCCACGGCCTCTCAGTCACTTGCAGCGAGGAATGCTGTCTGGCATTCTGAAGGAGCTTCTTGGAATTCCAACAGCCTGGGAATCAGGACAACTGGGCCAACCCATGCCGTCACACACAGTCTGCTTTGATGGTAACCCGAGAACAAGCCAAATCGATAAACCCACTGAGAATTCTTGAGCAGAGGGCAGTCAGAGGTTTACAGATGATGTCATTTTAATAAAGAAGAAAAATTGTTTCTGCAATTATGAAGTATAAGCTTTCATGTTATCATGGCTTTACTTATTATTCACTTTGAGATTACAATAATTTTGACAAAATGTTTGGATCATTTTTTATAAATCAAAAAGCCTCTGAAGAACTGGTATAGTTGAAAGATGACTTTACTGTACCTTTCCCATCCCAGGGCTGTCCTTAGCCTTTGACCCTGCCCTGAGGAGACATGGGGGTACAGGTGGGGGCGAGAGCTGCAGGGCAGAGCTGAAGCCATCAGTGTAGAAGAACGGCTCTTCTGGGTCAGGTGGGGAAGGAGGAAGCGGCTGAGGCTTCTTCCGTTTGGAGAGGTTCAGCTTCTGGGCAGCCCTAGGAAAGAGCAGCAAACAAAAAGTTTGTCCTTGCTAATGCATTGCTATACAGCTCCATATCTGTCCTCCAATGATTTGAGATGAACACATTTTGAATGGATGAGTTCTCATGTCTATGACAAACCAGCAGCAAAGAACTGCACATAAAACTACATTTATACACAGATACTTAAAGGCTGCATTTATTTAATCAAAAATACAGTCAAAACAATAATACTGTGAAATATTATTCCAATTTAAAATAATTGTTTTCTACTTTAATATATTTTGAAATGTAATATATTATTGAGCTGGCAAAGCTGAATCGTCCACAGTCACCGTTACTCCAGCCTTCACTGTCACACAAGAAACATTTATTATTATAAATGCCAAAACAGTTGTACTGCTTAGTTTCTTTTATGAAAACACATTTTTTTTCAGGATTCTTGAATAACAGCCTTTATTTGAAATAAAAATCTTTTGTAACAATGTAAACATATTTACTGTTATTTTTTACTCAATGTAATTCACTGCTTTGCTGAATAACAGTATTGATTTCTTCAAGAAATAAATAATTAACAAATCTTACTGACCCCAAACTAAATAAGCAAATGTAAAAAGTAAATAGAGAGTGGGATGCAGAAAACCTTGATAGAAAGTCTTAAAAGAAAAGACGGTCCCACTTTATATTAAGTGGCATTAAGTGCTATGTACTTACAAAAATTGTGTGGATGTTGTATTGTAAAAGACTTTTGCTGCTATTGAGGTGTGATACTGGTAAGGTTAGGGTCAGGTGTGGTGGTATGAGTAGGTTTAAAGGGATATTCCACTTTTTTTGGAAATAGGCTTATTTTACAACTCCCCCAGAGTTAAACTGTTGAGTTTTACCATTTTTGAATCCATTCAGCCGATCTCCGGATCTGGCGGTACCACTTTTAGCATAGCTTAGCATACATCATTGAAGTGGACAAGACCATTAGCATTTCTAAAAAATAAAAAAAAGACCAAAGTGTTTCGATATTTTTCCTATTTAAAACTTGACTCTTCTGTAGTTACATCGTGCACTAAGACCGACGGAAAATGTAAAGTTGCGATTTTCTAGGCTGATATGGCTAGGAACTATACTCTCATTCCTGCGTAGTAATCAAGAAACTTCACTGCCGTACCATGAGTGCAGCAGGCACAGGCACTTAGTCCCGGTCACGTTGGAAGTTACCGAGCTGGGGACTATTTTCAGGCGCTGCGTCATATCATTACGCCTGCTGCACTCATGGTATACCCTTCGGCATACCCTGACGTGCAGCTCTCCAAAAATTTAACAACGCGTCAATTCTACGTGGACGCAAGCGCTGTGATTGGTCTGCTAGAACCGCTCCCTCGGGTTTCACGTGTTCCCTCTGCGTGCATCAACGCGGACAACGACGCAGAAGTATAAATTAAAACCAACCAACGCGTAGTCTACAGCGTAGAGGCTCCGGCGTAGGTCGTATAAATAAGCCTTAAGATTGCTGACAACAGGTAGTTAAAATTTGAAGAAGGGAAAAAACTCATACAAGGTTCATAAAGACATAATGTCTTTGTTATTTCTAAAAATGCTACAGTAAATGTTTTATTTTAGGGTTATGGTTAGGCTCAAGTAATTATAATTAGCTACATAACCAAAAGTATGTGGAGACTCCTAAGTTTGGCTTTCCAATTAAGTTAAATCTTAATGTTCTACCATGCAATGGCATTCTCAAGAATTGTGTGCTTCTAACAGATTGTGGAGCGCCCTTTTCCATATAGAAATGTTTTGAACACCTTTGAGATGAATTGGAACAGTGAGTCAGACTCCATCACCCAACAGCAGTTCCTGACCTCACTGTGTAAACGTGTATCCATGTTCCAACATCTACTGTAGTAGAAAGCCTTCCTAGAGGAGCAAAACCTTTTAGGAAGGACACGAT